GGTCCAGGGCCCTGGCCGGGTCTGCTCCCACTCTCCTCCAGCCAGCCCGGGAAGGGAGACGGGGCCCTCCTCTGCAGGTGGCCCACGAGGGCCCTGAGGGTTCTGAAGAGGCAGCAGTGGCTACGAGGAGTTACCAGGCTCCCTCGTCTGCCGAGCTGCCATCTCCCTCTGCGCTCAGGACCAGAGCCACAGCCCTGGAAAGGAGGCATCTAGGCCAGGCCGGTGCTTTGCAACATGCGTGGCCTTGGGCAGGTCACCTCCCTGCTTTGGGTTCCTCACTTGTAAGGAGAGAGATGGTTGGACTGCAGGTCTTTCAGGCCTTTGCCTCCCTAGTCGTCAATGTCTGAGTCTGCAGAATGGGCCTGTAATAAGACTTTCTGCCTCGTTGAGGCAAGAGGTTTAAATGGGACATGAAGGGCAGAATCTGGTGCATACCCAGAGGTGGTCATCATTATAATGAGGCTGAGGACACACGTGAGAATCTCTTGTTTTCCTTTGTTGAACCCTGGGGCAGAAGCAAGTGTAGTGCCCCGTGTCCCTCCATCCTCCCTGGAGGGGCCTGGCCTTCCAGTCCAAAACCTTGGCTTTGGGTGGAGGACAGGAGGATGGGAAAGGGGAGGCTGAGATGCTGACCACTGCCCTCTTGGTCAGGAACTCTGGTGGCAGAGGGAGATTGTACCCATTTTATGAAGAAGGTAACTGAGGCTCAGAAAAGGAAAGAGTCTGCCCAAGTGCATCCAGGTAGGGCATGGGTGGAGTTGGGTAGGTTTAGGCTGTAGGTTCCCAGACCCCCCTCCCCACAGACCTCAGGCGCTCTCAGGAGTAGGAGGGCCCAGGCCCCTCCCAGGGTCTCCAGTTGGGAAGGCGGAGGGCAGGGGGGCCTGGGTCACGACAGCTCAGGGCCACATTATCTCTTAAGCAACCTGCCAGAGCTGTCATTTCTACCCCCATTTCTAACAGGCTCTAGTCTGCTGGTGTTAAAGTCCTGGGTTAACCAGCAGCCCTGGGCCTCAGTTTACTCATCTGTAAAGTGGGGAAGCCCACTAGGGGCTGGGCCAGAAAAAAGAGGGAAAGGCATCTCGGTTCCTTCCTTTTCCCTTGGGGCTGGTGAGCCCTTCTTCTCAGCTGAGGAAGTTGAGGCAGAGTGGCTGCATCTCAGGACCTGGCCTGAGCAGTGCCTGCCCACGTCCTCCCCACAGCCACCCGCGAATCAGCCTTTGTGCACGCCATTGCCTCAGCCGGTGTGGCCTTTGCCGTCACACGCTCCTGTGCCGAGGGCACCTCCACCATCTGTGGCTGTGACTCGCATCATAAGGGGCCGCCTGGAGAGGGCTGGAAGTGGGGCGGCTGCAGTGAGGACGCCGACTTCGGGGTGCTCGTGTCTCGGGAGTTTGCCGACGCACGCGAGAACAGGCCGGATGCCCGCTCGGCCATGAACAAGCACAACAACGAGGCTGGCCGCACGGTGAGCTGCTGCCGCCCTCACCCGGACCCTGCCCCTGCCCTGCCCTACCCCTCCCGGTGGCCCTTGTGCATTCTGGGCTCCCTGCTGTCTTTCCTTTTCATTTCTCCTTGGACTGTTCTGGGTCCCCACCTGAAATTCGCCCCAGGGATGCGTCAGCCTAGGATTGTGGTGCCCCATGGAGCAGGTACCCACCAGCCCATCCTGTGCACTTCAGCTTCCTGTGTAGGGCTGTGAGACTTGTGGGCCTGGCTTTGAATTCAGCGCCCATCCCTTCCTATGATTGTTTCTTTCACCTAGGGCAAGTCACTTAAGCTCCCAGCCTCAGTTTCCCCATCTGTTAAACGGGAATTACAATCCTTATTTCCTAGGGCTTTGAGAAATGGATGTGATTTCTGCCAGTGCTTAGGGTGTGAAGGGGAGGGAAACAATGATCATCATTGTTTAGGTCCGAGCCTCAGTCCCCAGTTGGTTCTCATCCTGGCCTAGGGTAGGAATAGAGAAGGCTCCAGGGATGGGAGTGGGTGGGGGCAGAGTGGGAGGCTCCCAGGTTGGGTGGGTCTGGGGACCAGCTGCTGCTCCTATTCCCAGACCATCCTGGACCACATGCACCTCAAGTGCAAGTGCCATGGGCTGTCAGGCAGCTGCGAGGTCAAGACCTGCTGGTGGGCCCAGCCCGACTTCCGCGCCATCGGTGACTTCCTCAAGGACAAGTACGACAGCGCCTCAGAGATGGTGGTGGAGAAGCATCGGGAGTCCCGCGGCTGGGTGGAAACCCTCCGCGCCAAGTACGCGCTCTTCAAGCCGCCCACGGAGCGGGACCTGGTCTACTACGAGAACTCCCCCAACTTTTGCGAGCCCAACCCCGAGACGGGCTCCTTTGGCACCAGGGACCGGACTTGCAATGTCACCTCCCACGGCATCGATGGCTGCGACCTGCTCTGCTGCGGCCGCGGCCACAACACAAGGACGGAGAAGCGGAAGGAGAAATGCCACTGCATCTTCCACTGGTGCTGCTATGTGAGCTGCCAGGAGTGCATCCGCATCTACGACGTGCACACCTGCAAGTAGGGAGCCAGGTAGGGCGGCCGGGTGGGGAGGCTGGGGGCCTTGGTGCAGGGAACTGGGTTTGCCCATCTCTTCTTGATGACCTCGTCCTATGTCTGAGCTATCCAGGACACACAAGTTTCCACCGCCAAGGTAGGAAGCCAGGATTTCCCAAGCTTCAGTGGGTCCTTGGGCAGTGTCTTGGTGGATGACACAAAGCACAGATAATATCTGAGTGTATGCGGACGAGGCTTCAAGCAATTGATTAAAATTCGTATACAAGCTAGTAAACTGGAAGCCAGGTCAGTTTTTCACAAGGCTGCTAGCTGTCGTTAGTGAGCATCTGTGGGGCCACAGGAGGGACACTGTGGGGTTGGAAGCTAGGACACCTGACTTCTGGTTCCAGCTTTGCTCTGAACTTGCTGTTCTTTCACTTCTCTGGGCCTCAGGTTTCTTACTGTAAAATGAGGGGTTAAAACACTTGAAATAGCAGGCCAAAAATCTCCTGTACCCCTGGGGCAGCGTCCATTTTGCATCCACCTTGAACTGAGAGGGCAGGGTTTTGCACAAGCATGACTCCTACCACTCTCAAGGAAGTGGGTGGGGGAAGCGGTGTGAAGCCCCATATCCTGACAGATCTGAAGCCTGGGTGGAGCGGGGCGCACTCTCACCAAGTTTATGGATGGTGATGGGGAGGAGGAAGGAGTCAAGTTCAGAGTGACGGTGGTGAGTAATCAAGGGATCAAAGGCTGGTGGATTATGTTCCCAAGCTACTCAGAGGTGACCTGCGTGGGAGACACTGTTGCCCGGCCCTCAGGTCTATAGGTCCCCAGGATAGGTCAAGCTTGGCATGGGGTGGTCCTAGTCCTGGAGGGTTTCTAAGGCCAGAGTGCTCTTTCTTCCTTTTTTCTGACCTGGGAAGGAGCTTGGTTTATCAGTTCCGAGCCCCGGTCCAGCTTCCACCATTACCACCCATGTGACTCAAATAGGACAGTCTTCACACACCTGTCTCCTTGTCTGTCATCCTCTCCAGAGGTGCCATGAGGATCAGAGAACACTGGAGACAGTGCTGGGTTCATTGCAAGACTTGCCTGCCTGAGTCATCGCTAGCTGGGGCTGTGTCGGGGAGAGCACCCCACTGGTGATGCAATTCCACACAGGGAACCTCAGAGCAGGGGGTGCACATCTATGCTGGCAGGGCCGGGGGTGGAGTGTGGCCTCTCTGCAGCTTGGCGGGGCCTGATGTGCTGGGGAGAGCTCTGGTGGAGCGGCAACTCAGCACATCTGGGAAGCACCTCTGTGTAGCTCAAGTTATGTCCTGGCAGGGACAGAGTCCAGAAAGACAGAAGGAGGTGCCCCTTTTCTTGGTGTCTGAATAAAAGCAGTGTGGGGAGTGGAAAGAGAACAAAGGTGGTCCCAACTTCACCCACTCCCCAGCTGGAAGCCCAGTGTCCTCTCATCTGTACAGCAGTGGTGATAACTGGAGCCCAGCAGAATTTCTGAGTTTCAAGCAAGCTAGTAGATGTAAGTGCTGGTCTGAATCTAGTACTTGGCCGTGAAAGTATGAAATGCCATCAGAGAGCCACGACACAAGGGCATCATAGTGCAAGGAGATGGTGTCATCACTTGGGCAGTACACTACTTTGCAAAATGATGGGAGGAAAGTCAGTGAATAAGAGAGAACTCCCAGGCTCACTGGGGTATAACAGGTGGAAGGAGTGTTTGAAAGCCACAGTGCCACCTTCCTCTGATGTCCACTCCGGCCAGAGGCAACAGTGTCCCCACTGTCAAACAGGACAAAGCTCTGGCCATTCTGAGAGAAGGCTAAGGGGAACTCAAGAGTTTCAGAACACTAATAAACACCGAGCAGGGCACAGAGGACTATTGGTCTAGCCTGCCCATTGCACAGATGGGGACACTGAGCCCAGGTCTCTGCCTTCAGAAAGCCCTGTATGTGGGTCCTGCAGAGGCCACAGCGGCAGCAGCCCAGGCCCCATCAGTGGTTCTAGGAGGCTCTAGGGTGTCACACCTCTTTTCCCCCCGAGCAGGCAGCTGAGATAAGCCATTTGCCAAGTGGGGAAGTAGGTGTTGGGTTGGCCCTCAGTATCTAGAAAGTCCCCTGCCTGTAGCCTTATACTGATCCTAAGAAGAGTCAATACTCTCCATCAGCCTTCCATTCCCCATTTCTCAAGCAGTGGCATTTTCCCCAGTCTTGTGGAGAGTGCTACATAGACGTGGTTTCAAGATGCCGTGCCTGGGTAGATTGTGGCCCCAGGCCCACTGTATTGGGCAGTCTGAAGTCCTCATTCTGGGACAAGTGGAGAATGTGGCGCCCTTTTGACAAACACTGTTGAGTGATATTGGGCAGGCTGTTTTGCCTCTCTGAGCCCTGGTTTCCTCATCTGTGATTTGGTCATAAGAACTGCAACCTTGCAGGATTGTTGTGTGGACTAGAGGTCATGCACACAAAGAGCGCTGGCAGCAGGGTCCAAGGAGGCAGCAGAGATTCCCAGGGCAAGTGGAAATGACCTCCAGGAGCGACTTGCCCGCCGGCTCGCTGCTGGTCTGGAGCTGCAGGCTGAGACCCGGGCACCTTCCCTGTCCTTTCATCTGCACCAACACCCTGTAGGCAAGATGGGAACTTCCAAGACAGGCTGGCAGGGACTGCATGGAACAGGGCCTTTAGCCTTTCTCTTGGCCACCCTGTCTGTCTTGACAGTGCAGGTAGGAGAGAGAAGGGAGCCTCAGAGCTGGATGCCACATACTCAGGGAGAGTCCCAGTCAAAATGGCTTTCCATTAAGAGTCTTGGTCCTTCCTCACAGGGAAAACCTCTTTCCGCTGCTGGCAGATTTTGTCCAGTGTCTCAGGCTAACCGCTGATTTCCTGCCTTGCGAGTACCAGATTTATTCCTTGTTACTCAGATGCTGTGAGCGCCGTGAGCACAGTAAGCCGGAAAGGGCTCTGGACAGAGTCAGGTGGTCTGGCCGACCCCGAGTCCTGGGTCTGTCACCAGCTTGCTGTGAGACTTCGGACATATCCCTTCAGTCTTGCTGAGTCTGTTTCTCCGCCTGTAGAAGAGTCTTCTACCGGCCCTGTCAGCCCTGCAAGGAGTTAGCTGAGGGTTGACTGGGAATGTCCAGGAGAGTCCTTTGGGCTTTAAATCCTTTGTGAGATGTAGATACATATATGGATGAATAAAATGTAGACACTGGTACTCCCAGCAGAAGGAATTATTCATAATTTGTTAGACTTCTGTTTGGACCACTCGATACAAAAACACAGTGTACAGGATCCTACAAAGTTGGGAATGGGGCCCTAGATCTGCACAATTTCTCCCAGTCTCTATGCCAGACAGGTTCCACACTAGGCTACATACCTGCTACTGGGCTTCCTGTTGCCCAAGCCCCACCTAGGAGGTGGGGAGGTAGGATTGGATCCCTGTGTGTGGACACTAAGGCCCTACTGCTCCGTAGGCCACGTGTCCTTCCTCAGTGGTAGACTCCAGGTAGGGGAGGGAGGACAGAGATGTTGAGACCCCCTATCAACAGCCCCTGATCTTTGCACGCCTATGGGCATCTCTGGGAAAACAATTATGTTCCTAATTCTTCCTCTTTACTTTCCAAAGGGCACTGGGAACGGGTGAAGTGTGTGGCTGGGCGGATTCACTGAAGTCCTATGGGAAGCAGGACCCAGAGCTGGGCTCAGCCCTCAGCATCAGACAGCAAGGAATCCGGACTGTTGCCAGATGCACGTGTGGTAAATTACCTGGACCCAACCCGCCCGCTGCCTGGGAGGCCTCCCTCCCTCTCTCTCATCTTAAGTTTCTCACCCCACTCTGGATGGTGTGTGGTTTTTAAAGAAGGGGCTTTCTGTTTAGTTCTCTAGGGTCTGATAGGAACAGACCCGAGGCTTATCTTTGCACATGTTAAAGAAAATAAAAGTGGAAAAACAAAACAAAACAAAACAACCTCTACTCCAACAGAACAGGCTGGGCTAATGTGAACGCTCTGCCTGGTGGTGAAGATGTCGGCGTGGGCAAGTTTCTGTTTCCCAACTGCCTCTTCCGGTGACATTCCAAGATGCCTATGAGGTGGGAGTCAGGAAGTAGGACAAAGCCCTGCAGTCTCCTTTTCTCTGTCTACTCCCATTCAAATCTGATAGACTTTCACATTCTGATAAAAGCCATAGGGTTCGCTGGGATAAAGTGGTAGGGAGGCCCAAGGCAATCGTTAGAGTCGGGTTTTGAGTTTTGAAGAACCAGGAGTTCTGGGTGACCTGGTAAGCTGTTTGAAGAGCAGCTGTATGTTCTTCTCAGTCCCGTTTTCTCTGTAACCCTGTTCTGCACGAGAGGCTCTTATGAACTGCAGTCAGATCTCAAAATCTTTTTCTACCATTCTGCAGTTTCCACCATTAATGCAGTACCTTTTTTTTTTTGTAGTGAACGTTGTAAATAGGTTATGTGTTGGGGGTAAGCCTTCTCCAGCTCAAATGGCTTCCTAAAGAAAGAAGTGGTATCTTTAGAAGGGGCCACTCTGTCCCTCCCAGCCCTGCTCACCTGCAGATTCTCCATTAAAAACAACTCCAGGTCGAGCAGTTGGACTCAGAGAGAAAGTAGCAATCTAGTCCTGAAGTTCCAATTTTGTGACTAGTGGATGGGGAGGATAAAAATGATCCCTTCGTTTCCTCTCCACTAAAAACACGTCATCCTGCACCCTTTTCTCTCCTTGGCCTGTGTGAGGAAACGGAAATGCAGAGATCTTCCAGCCTCACCTGTATGCTGACCGCACCAATCCATGCAGTCACCAAGGATCAGGATTGGGTTTTCAAACTAGGGCAAGCAGTCACTTGCTCCCTTGGGTAAAGCATCTCACAGCTGAGTTCTCCTTGATCCACCTGGGTCCTCTGGAGTGTCTCAGAGGAAGCTCGCAAACTGGAGGCAAGAGGCAAGAGTTAACCCAACAGCTCTGTCGTGAGGAGATTCAGGAAGAAGAGATGCAGCAGAAGCATAGGATAGAACAAGGTGATTTCTTCCTTTCCCCTTCTCTCTTGGGTCTACCTAACACTCTCCTAAGACACCAGGTCAAGGATCTTCCCACTTGCTCAGGCAGCTTCTCCAAGACGATCGATTGTCTAGAAGTCAAGCCTGTACTCTTGAATCTGCTGGCACCGAGCCTTGCTAAAGATACACATCCCATCCCTTCTAAGAGAGTCTGAAATGCCCCTCCCCATCTCACCTTAGAAAAGTTTTAAATCATGTCAACCAGATAATGCTTGCTTTATATGAGAATTATTTCAGCAGAGTGGAAACAAATTTTCAAAACAGTCTTTTCATATCTATGTATTCTATATTAAGAGTGATAAAGTCATGTTTCTGGGGCATATTCAAGTAGCCGATAAGTGATTATTTAATAATAGTACATTGAGTGCATTGTAATTATTCGCGCCGTAGTCAGGTAATAGTATCCAACAGAAATTTCCTACCAACCTGCTGTATCCAAAGTTTTGTAAAAAGTTGTAGAAGTTGTTGATCTTTTTGATTTTATATTCAAAAAGTCTCTTTTTATAAATATTATTTATTATACAATGTATATACCTTTGAGTTAACTAAGATTATATATTATATAAATATATATATATATTTGGAGAAAATATATTTCATCATGCAGTCTTTTTCTGTTAAGTCATTAAAGACAAGGTAAACAAACTTAAAATGGATACATTGTACAGTGTGTGGAGTTTCCAGGTTAATGCTCAGGAGGTCAAGAATATCAGATTCTGAATGTGGGAGCCTCCACTTTCCCTCTGAAATTTAGTGGCCCAGATTAAGCAAGATCATCTGAGATGTCATGGACAGTAGGTCTGATTACTAAAGGACTTTCTTACAGGCTTACTTTATTATAAATCAGCTTCTAACAAAGAATTTCCAGTTTTAGAAATAAGCAGCTTGGGCAGTAATTCACTTCATAGACTCCAGCACTTCAAATGCACAAATTAATTGTCACAGACACACAAAGATATGGTTCAAGGCCAGCAGACCACAGGGTTGGCCACTGACTCAATCCCTTTCTAACCCATGTTTTCAAGTTCATTTATTGGGAAAATAGGATTTTCTCTACTAAAAATGAGACTTGACTGGAAACAGCTCTCCCCTGCTAGCTCCTCTTGAGAGCTAAGCTACGGAAGGGAGAGGTTGGTCGGAAAGAAGCAGTGGTGTGCCCTGAGCACACCTGGGTTGTCTGGAACAGGTGTCATTTGAAGTTTTAGATTGGTTTGGGCAGCACAGACCCACCAGTGGGCACGCTCTAGGGAAGGGCATCTCTCCTTGGACTGGTGCTTCAGAAGGACTCACCTGAAGCTTACAGGTAATGCCTTTTCAACGAAGAGATGCTATAATTCAGTTTTATGACGATAATCCTTTGGTCTTCAGACCTACCCATAAAATGTCACCTTGAGCTTGACACAGCTAAATGTTTTCTCTTCCTTTCTCTTTCTTCCAATTTACCTTTATTAGGGATAAGTACATTCATCTCACTTCAGAGAAGAACTAACAGAAAACTAGGGTGGTCTGCCCTGTGTGGTACAGCTGGGCTGCCTGTGCTCTAACCTGAGATGAGGGATGGCTACTAGACGTTCACAAACTTTACTTTGCCCGTGATGTGTCTTTATTTAGTACCTAAATAATAAATTGGATGTGAAAAGGACACAGACCTCCACGTCTCACGGAGCTGCTTGTCTCTGTACTTCACTTTTACATAAAGCTGACACCATTCTACCCCAGTATTTTGGGTACTTTTTCTTAACCTATAAAATTGCCAGATATTTAAGTGGTCCC